TATAGAAGAACGGACAGTACCCTGGATTTGTACACCATCAGCTTTGTGCCAATGCTAAGCTGATGGTTGTTCCACCCTCGGTACTCTAGCTTCCCGAATGCCGCCGCTGTCTTCGACACGCGATTACGAAGCTCAGTGTGTAGCTGCTAGTCAGCTGACATCACACTCCCAAGGTAGCTGAAGCGGGAGGTGGTTTACAATACTTCAGCACCAATGCTGATTTGCAGCAAATGAAAGATTGCACCTCCGGTGAAGGCTGAAAGAGAGACAGTTTTGCTTGTGTTGATGGTGGGCCCGAATTTTGCCGCTGTCGAAGCCAGAGCACTAGTCATGTGCGGCAATTCATCCGTGCTGTGTGTAAACAAAGCACAGTCGTCAGCAAACAGCAACATACGGATAGTTGTCTCACAGACTAGAGCTCTCGCACCGAAAAGACGGATGTTCAGCAACCCACCATCAATATGGCGCTGCAAATCAGCACCGTAAGCACAAGCCGCATCAAAAGCACAAGACATCATTGCATGAAGATATATATTAAACAGGGCAGGAGCTAGGATACAGCCTTGCTTCACACCAGAGACAACTGCAAAGTCATCCGAGGTCTCTCCACTCAGCTGCACCCTCGCTCGCATACCACTGTGCAGACATTCCATTACACTTACAAACTTACGCGGGCAACCAAACTTACCCAATACCAGCCACAATGCCTCGCGGTTCACCGTATCAAATGCCTTGGTGAAATCAACAAAAAGCGAGTACAACGGCTGATGTCGTTCTCTGAACTTCTCTTGCAACTGAGGAGCCGCAAACACCATATCTGTAGTGCTGCCACCCGAACGGAATCCACACTGCTCTTCCTCCACGTTTGGTTCCACAACCTGACTGACGAGGCGGTTGAGCAGGATTCGGGCAATTACCTTGCCCACACAACTCAGCAAGTTGAGGCCACGATAATTTGTGCAACATTGCTTGCTTCCTTCGCCCTTGTACACTGATAGCACAATGACATGCTTCAGCTCAGGAGACACCTCCACCTCAATCCACACGTGTTGCACAAAGTTGTACAAGGCAGTGACCAACGCGGGTCCGCCGTGTTTCAATACTTCAGGCGGGACCCCGTCGGCACCGGCACACGTGTTGTTTCGCAGCTGAGTAAGCGCTCCCCTGCGTCTCATCCAGTATCAGCGTGTCCGTCAGACTCCCCTTCACATCGTGCTGCTTCAGGCTGTTCAATGTAGGCCAGTCGATATCTGAACGGTTGTTCAAGAGACAGTCAAAGTGTTTCCGCCAGACCTGCATTATGTCTGCAGTCTGTGTGCAGGTAGCGCCTGAACTACCATCGATCCGTGTCCTCAGCGGCTCCAATCTCGGTCCATACACCGCCTTCAAGGAGTCAAAGAATTCCTTGTGTTGGCAGCGTTCGGCGTAGCATTCCATCTGCTTCGCCTTCTCCGTCCATCCTGCATTTTTATTGCGACGGAGCTCTCGGGTCAGTCGCCGTCGAAGTTTGCGAAACTGACTCCTCTTCTCCAAGTCACTGGGGTCTGCACCATGTGCAGCAAAAGCTGTATTCTTCTCCGACACCAATGCGCCAATCGTCGCATCGTTTGTCATCAAACCAATCAGGACGCTTACAGTTTGCGCGCCCGACGGTCTCCTCGGCAGCAGTTGTCACCTGGTCGCGAATGTGGTGCCACAGGTCGCCCACTGTGGCTATGCAGTCCCCGTCACTTTACAGGCGTGCAGCCATCGCCTTCTCCAGCTCAGTACGTTTCCGCCACAGTACCGAGGGAGAGGAATGTTTCACTTTACGGCCGATTGACGGCGGGAGTGAAAATACCATTGGATTTAGTGAGAAAATATATGTACAGTTTGGGTCCGCACCAACTTGTGCTCGGTGCCAACCACCTCAGCTCCAAGGAAGTACACACGTGTCATGCGCACTTCACGCATATCACGAAGAAGTATGCTAAAATTACACACTCACGTACTCACACACATCGTTTTACCAGCACAACTGTGTTCAGGAAACTGCTCCTAGTGCGGCTTACGTATATGATGAATCGATGCTATTCACCTAAAAGCGCTGAACGTAGCAGAAACAACACTGGCCAAAGCGTTATCGTATTACTTCGAGACGAGCTTACGTAGACAAACTGTATCTAGCGTGCGGAAACATGGTTTAACCATTCCAACTTTATATAATGTTCAGTTTACTTGGAACCCGCAAACTATCGCACAGTGATCCTCCTCATCGTGCTCTCGAAGGTGCTGGAGAAAATCATCGATTAGGCTGGAGTGGAAGATTGAGGAACTTGCAACATCATAACACGCTAGCTGAATGGTTGCCATTAGCACAGATTATACACAACCAAACTACTGATTACGAGCGGTAGCTGGATGGAAACAGCTGAGAAATATACAGGGACCGATGTCACTTACCTCGACTATTTTGATACTTTCGGCCGTCTGGATTACCGCAATCTGTTTCACATACTATACTACTACGGGGATGGGATTCTACAGTTGGTTGGATCAGGAATTTCCAGCAACAACAGCAACTGCGGGTTAGAGATCGAAGCAGGCTGCATGATCCTATGCAAATCGTATTTAGTATTCCACGAGGATCAGTTCTGGTGGGCTTCGCCCGTTTCCCGTGTGCATTACTAAACAAAAGCATCTGATCGCTCCGGTTTTCTTGCTTTTCGCTGATGCTATACAACTGTGAATGGCAACCGTTGACCAAGGAAATGACGATGCACTTCATGGAAACTTGTGTAGTGCATGTACATGGTTATACAGCAAGCTGCGTTAGGTTAATTCGTCCAATTGCAACGCGGTCCCCATTCGGTAGTTACCAAACATCATCTACATGCTTGGAGAAAACGTGTTGCAGTCCGTTATCTAAGGTTTCAACCTTGGCGCATTAATGCAAGCTGACCTGGGTTGTTCAGCTGTAGTTGACAAGACTTCAAAGATTGGGAACCAAAGCTTTGGAACCTGCGCACAGAACTGGGGCGGTTTGATTAAGATGTTTACTTGCAAATGCTTAACAAATACGCGGGGTCTAGCGTGGAATGCGCTCTTCAAAACTGGGAGCAAGATCCTGCAGCGTTGAGAATACACAGCGAAGCGTCACCAACCACGACAAAAGATTGCACCACTTTCCATAAGACCTTAGACAGATGATTCTAAGATGCTAGCACCTGTAGTGATGACAACAAGGAGGGAACATACTAATGGCGTAACAGATTCACAGGAACCCCCATAATGTGTGGTGCCACCGACCGCAAATTAGTCCCAATACTCATCTGAAAGGCAACCATTTGTTGTTGTAGAAGCAATAAATTTGCTTATACAATATACCAAATATTTGAAGCACTAGAGCATTCAACTTCAGCCGTAAGGATGTTCGAGTTCATGTAATACTCTTACAAATTTTCCAGCCCATGCGACAGTGATTGCTATTACGCTTGCTGTCGCGTAGTTTCCCAGACAACAGCAGGTCGGACCCAGATATAGAGGAGATCTAACCAAGGAGGGTACGCAGGGGGCCCGACTACACATGCTCAAGAGCAATTCATCCCCAGGACGAAGAATGGATGGGCAGAACGCCAGTTAGAATAAGTGAAACGTTGGGGTCAGCAGAAGCGTAGTAGGATGCAGCTGAGACATTGTAGAACAAGGGTCGGAGCATGCCCCATGTTCTCCATTTAACAAATCCTCTTGGCGAAAGGAGTTGATATTGTGTTACGCATGTCCATCACAAGCCAGTAGCTAGGTCATTGCCCTAACATTACCAGGTGATTCCACTGGCATGGCAACTACCCTTGCCGCCCCTTCTGGTGATTTTAAATCCATAAAATCTCATAATTTCGAACAGCTCTTAAATAATTTGTTGTATATAACAACAAGCAAAGATCCAATTACACAGTGCTGTCGTAAATTCAGGAAATGTTATTGCTGCAATATTGATGAACAAAATTTACAGAGACACTTCTCGCGCCTTACTTGAGGTACTTGCACTGATAAAACACTCCATTGTCAATTTCGCTCTCTAAGTTGAGAACTGCGACTCCGTGAGCTTTGTCCGCCTCAATGACGATTGAAGGTAGTTCGTTATGAGCTTACGTTTTGTGAATGTGCTCTCACAGCTGGTTATACTAATAGTTCCGGTAAGAAATATGCGCAGCAGATTCCCCAGATAATATTTCGTTATGAGGCTTAAAAGCTCAGTAGGTCCATTAATTTAGTATTTCAATGAAGCCTTCACAAAATACCGCAATCTTCGCCGTCGGCAAGGATGTCCGATTAGTTCCATAGCTTTTTTTGAATTTACCAACCGGACAACCAACTTAGTATGAAGCAAGTTAACGGTGTAAGAAAAGCATATTCGATCAGCATGGTCATGAATTTTCTGAAATCCACGTTTTGCCATTAGTCAAAATGTCCTATGAGAGGTAGCTTTTCCCATTTTAACCTCTGCATCAAATCCTATCGATATATCCAATAAATCCACCAACCCATTCTTTTCTCTTGGCCGATTGGACCCTTCATGGTTTATCCCCAAATCAGCGAAGTTGTTGGATTCATTCGTGCAAGGTGTACCATTTCTCACTCTGAAGGAAGACAACTCTTAATGCGGTAATAGATGTCAAAAACTTAGCAGATCTAGCCCAGTTCTTTTGACCTACCTGTGCATTCCTGAATTCAATGGGTGCAGATCCCCTAAATGCCAAGACAAAATATACGCAAACGACGGTATGAGATGAGTAAGTAAACATACAGCTGATCTTGTGATTGCATTTCCTCCTTGACTCTGTGAAAGGTTGTCGTTAAGTGACGGTTTCCAGTATTTCTTCATACCACAATTATTTTACAGCACCTGCTCGACTACTCCATCTATATTTACTGTCACCTGATACTTACCTCGTGACTTGAACACGGCACCAAGTTATCTTTCGCTGGACAAAGAAGATGATAACCGGTCTCGTACAAACATGAACGGAATGAACCGTCGGGGGGAGGGGGGGGGGGGGGGCGGGGGGGGGGGGAGGGGGGGGGGCGGGGGGGCGGGGGGGGGGGGGGGCGGGGGGGGGGGGGGGGGCGGGGGGGGGGGGCGGAGGGGGGGGGGGGGGGGGGGCGGGGGGGGCGGGGGGGCGGGGGGGGGGGGGAGGGGGGGGGGGGGGGGCGGGGCCGGGCGGGCGGGGGGGGGGGGGGCGGGAGGGGCGGGGGGCGGGGGGGGGGGGGGGGGGGGGGGGGGGCGGGGCGGGGGGGGGCGGGGCGGGGGGGGGGGGGGGGGGGGGGGGGGGGGGGGGGCGGGGGGGGGGCGGGGGGGGGGGGGGGGGGGCGGGGGGGGGGGCGGGGGGGGGCGGGGGGGGGGGGGCGGGGGGGGCGGGGGGGGGGGGGGCGGGGGGGGCGGGGGGGGGGGGGGGGGCGGAGGGGCGGGGCGGGGGGGAGGCGGGGGGGGGACGGGGGGGCGGGGGGAGGGGGGGGGGGGGGGGCGGGGGGCGGGGGCGGGGGCGGGGGGGGGGGGGGGGGGCGGCGGGGGGAGCGGGGGGGGGGGGGGGGGGGGGGGGGGGCGGAGGGGGGGGGGGGAGCGGGGGGGGGGGGACGGGGGGGGGGGGGGGGGGGGCGGGCCGGGGGGGACGGGGGGCGGGGGGGGGGGGGGGGGGCGGGGGGCGGGGGGCGGGGGCGGGGGGGGGGGGGGGGGGGGGCGGGTGGGGCGCGCGGGGGGCGGGGCGGGGGGGGGGGGGGGGCGGGGCGGGGGGGGGGGGGGGGCGGGGGGGGGGGGGGGGGGGGGGGCGGGGCGCGGGGGCGGGGGCGGGGGGGGGCCGGGGGGGGGGCGGGGGGGCCGGGTGGCGGGGGGGGGGGGGGGGGGGGGGGGGGGGGTGGGGCGGGGGCGGGGTGGTGAGGGGGGGGGGGGGGGGGGGGCGGGGGCGGGGGTGGGGGGGGGGGGGGGGGCCGGGACGGGGGGGGGGCGGGGGGGGGGGGGGGGGGGGGGAGGGGCGGGGGGGGGGGGGGGGGGGGGGGGGGGGGGGGGGGGGGGGGGGGGGGGGGCGGGGCGAGGGGCGGGGGCGGGGGGGGGGCGGGCGGGGCGGGGGGGGCGGGGGGGGGGCGGGGGCGGGGGGGGGGCGGGGGGGGGGGGGGGGCGGGGGGGGGGCGGGGCGGGGGGGGGGGGCGGGGCGGGGGGGGGGCGGGGGGGGCGGGGGGGGGGCGGGCGGGGGGCGGGACGGGGCGGGGGGGCGGGGGGCGGGGGGCGGGGGGGGGCGGGGGCGGGGGGGGGGGGGGGGGGGGGCGGGGGGGGCGGGGGGGGGGCGGGGGGGGCGGGCGGGGGGGGGCGGGGGCGGGGGGGGCGGGGGGGGGGGGCGGGGCGGGGGGGGGGGCGGGGCGGGGGGCGGGGCGGGGGGGGGTGGGGCGGGGCGGCGGGGCGGGGGGGGGCGGGGGGGGGGGCGCGGGGGGGGCGGGGGCGGGGCGGGGGGGCGGGGGGGGGGGGGGGGCGGGGGGCGGGGGGGGCGGGCGGGGGGGGGGGGGGGGGCGGGGGGCGGGGGGGGGGGGGCGGGGCGGGCGGGGGGGGGGGGCGGGGGGGGGCGGGGGGGGGGGCGGGGGGCGGGGGGGGGCGGGGGGGGGGGCGGGGCGGGGGGGCGGGGGGCGGGGGGGGGGGGGCGGGGGCGGGCGGGGCGGGGGGGGCGGGGGGGGGGGGGGCGGTGGGGTGGGGGGCGGGGGGGCGGGGGGCGGGGGGGGGGGGGGCGGGGGGGGGGGGGGCGGGGGGGGGCGGGGCGGGGGGCGGGGGGGGGGGGCGGGGGGCGGGGGGGCGGGGGGGGCGGGGGCGGGGGGGGGGGGCGGCGGGGCGGCGGGGCGGGCGGGGGGGCGGGGGGGGGGGGCGGGGCGGCGGGGGGGCGGGGGGGGCGGGGGGGGCGGCGGGGGGGGGGGCGGGGGCGGGGCGGGGCGGGGGGCGGGGGGGGGGGGGGGGGCGGGGGGCGGGGGGGGGGGGCGGGGCGGGGGCGGCGGCGGGGGGGGGGGGGGGGGGGGGGGGGGGGGGGGGGGGCGGGGCGGGGGGGCGGCGGGGGGGGGGGCGGCGGGGGGGGGGGGGGCGGGGCGGGCGGCGGCCGGGGGGGCGGCGGGGGGGGGGGCGGGGGGCGGGGGGGCGGGGGCGGGGGGCGGGGGGCGGGGGGGGCGGCGGGGGCGGGGGCGGGGGGGGGGCGGGGCGCGGGGCGGGGGGGGGGGCGGGGGGGGCGGGGGGGCGGGGGGGGGGGGGGGCGGGGGCGGGCGGGGGGGGCGGGGGGGGCGGGCGGGCGGGGGGGGGGGCGGGGGGGGGCGGGGGGGCGGGGGGGGGGGGGGGGGGGCGGGGGGGGGGGGCGGGGGGGCGGGGCGGGGGGCGGGGGGGGCGGGGGGCGGGGGCGGGGGGGGGGGGTGCGGGGGGGGGGGGCGGGGGGGGCGGGGGGGGGGGGGGGGGGGCGCGGGGGGCGGGGGGGGGGGGGGGCGGGGGGGGGGGGGGGGGCGGGGGGGGCGGGGGGGGGGGGGGCGGGGGGCGGCGGGGGGGTGGGGGGGCGGGCGGGGGGGCGGGCGGGGGGGCGGCGGGGGGGGGCGGGGGGGGGGGGGGGGGGGCGGGGGGCGGGGGGGCGGGGGGGGGGGGCGGGGGCGGGGGCGCGGGGGGGGGGGCGGGGCGGGGGGCGGGGGGGGGCGGGGCGGGGGGGGGGGGGGGCGGGGGGCGGGGGCGGGGGGGGGGGGGGGGGGGGGGGGGGCGGGCGCGGGGGGGGGGGGCGGGGGGCGGGCGGGGCGGGGGGGGCGGGGGCGGGGGGCGGGGGGGCGGGCGGGGGGGGGGGGGGGGGGGGGGTGCAAGCTGCGTCGATGAGGCACATGTGCTTGGACCCATCAGCACCATCTATGTTGAATTCAGTCTTAGCCCCCGGAGAGGCTAGCCAAATAATCTATTCGACCATAGGTCGAATTTCGTTCTTACCATGCACTACTATACACGGCAGAGAACCGTATAGGTTAACCTGTCCACCACCAGACCGCAGTGCTAATGCATCCCTCCTTACCTACCACGCTCACACTCATCTCACTCGATATAACACGGACCACACAGTGTCACAATTTACACCCACACTATCAGACCACAAACGAGCCATATTCGCACTGCGAACGCAATGCAACTACGCACAATCACAGGCACTCAGTCACGCGGGGCTCACGCTATCACGAGTCACCAAACACACATCAATTGCACACCGGCCACATACTACTCCGCTCCGTCGCAAGTAGGAAGCCACACAATGCACCGACTAAGCACGCGCCCACCTCAATATGTACGCACGATCACAACCGGGTGCACAGTTCCTCTGTGACACAAACGCACACATGCACCCACTGAACCACAGATTCGCCTAACCTCCCCATCCGAGCACAAACACACACAGACACAGCCTCACTCGCTATTCCGAATGCATCGCAACTCGCATCTTGTGGGATGCACGAGTCGAGCACATCGGAGACTAGCCACCGCGATTGCATGCCCACATGACTGGTGACGCAGCGTTCGGACTCTCTACCCCACATACCCCGCGTTCGGTTCTGTTGCGTTGGCAGACAGTGGATATTGGCGGGCGAAATGCTCTCATCGCATGGGTCATCGCATGCGCCCGAGGGACAATGTGTGCGTGGGTGAAGAAGCAGTGAGACGCGAGTGCATCGTGCTTTCCCCATATCAGCGCGCTGTGCTCGTGACTTGTGGGGAAACAGTGTGCGTGCCACATGGGAGTGCATTAGACAGTGTGTTGGTAGGCTTGATGGCGCCGTTAGAGCGTTGTTGCGTGTGTGTGTGTGTGTGAATACGACAGTGCAGTGAAGGTGGTTGTCGGATAAATGTGTGAACAAGTGTATGGTGCATGTGGAATGCGTGTCGGTGCGATGAGCGAACAAGGGGCGAGAGAGTGGCCGTGGGCGCGCATGTGTTCATGCGTTACGGATGTGCGCGGCGTACGCAAGCTGCGTCGATGAGGCACATGTGCTTGGACCCATCAGCACCATCTATGTTGAATTCAGTCTTAGCCCCCGGAGAGGCTAGCCAAATAATCTATTCGACCATAGGTCGAATTTCGTTCTTACCATGCACTACTATACACGGCAGAGAACCGTATAGGTTAACCTGTCCACCACCAGACCGCAGTGCTAATGCATCCCTCCTTACCTACCACGCTCACACTCATCTCACTCGATATAACACGGACCACACAGTGTCACAATTTACACCCACACTATCAGACACAAACGAGCCATATTCGCACTGCGAACGCAATGCAACTACGCACAATCACAGGCACTCAGTCACGCGGGGCTCACGCTATCACGAGTCACCAAACACACATCAATTGCACACCGGCCACATACTACTCCGCTCCGTCGCAAGTAGGAAGCCACACAATGCACCGACTAAGCACGCGCCCACCTCAATATGTACGCACGATCACAACCGGGTGCACAGTTCCTCTGTGACACAAACGCACACATGCACCCACTGAACCACAGATTCGCCTAACCTCCCCATCCGAGCACAAACACACACAGACACAGCCTCACTCGCTATTCCGAATGCATCGCAACTCGCATCCTGTGGGATGCACGATGCACGAGTCGAGCACATCGGAGACTAGCCACCGCGATTGCATGCCCACATGACTGGTGACGCAGCGTTCGGACTCTCTACCCCACATACCCCGCGTTCGGTTCTGTTGCGTTGGCAGACAGTGGATATTGGCGGGCGAAATGCTCTCATCGCATGGGTCATCGCATGCGCCCGAGGGACAATGTGTGCGTGGGTGAAGAAGCAGTGAGACGCGAGTGCATCGTGCTTTCCCCATATCAGCGCGCTGTGCTCGTGACTTGTGGGGAAACAGTGTGCGTGCCACATGGGAGTGCATTAGACAGTGTGTTGGTAGGCTTGATGGCGCCGTTAGAGCGTTGTTGCGTGTGTGTGTGTGTGTGTGAATACGACAGTGCAGTGAAGGTGGTTGTCGGATAAATGTGTGAACAAGTGTATGGTGCATGTGGAATGCGTGTCGGTGCGATGAGCGAACAAGGGGCGAGAGAGTGGCCGTGGGCGCGCATGTGTTCATGCGTTACGGATGTGCGCGGCGTACGCAAGCTGCGTCGATGAGGCACATGTGCTTGGACCCATCAGCACCATCTATGTTGAATTCAGTCTTAGCCCCCGGAGAGGCTAGCCAAATAATCTATTCGACCATAGGTCGAATTTCGTTCTTACCATGCACTACTATACACGGCAGAGAACCGTATAGGTTAACCTGTCCACCACCAGACCGCAGTGCTAATGCATCCCTCCTTACCTACCACGCTCACACTCATCTCACTCGATATAACACGGACCACACAGTGTCACAATTTACACCCACACTATCAGACACAAACGAGCCATATTCGCACTGCGAACGCAATGCAACTACGCACAATCACAGGCACTCAGTCACGCGGGGCTCACGCTATCACGAGTCACCAAACACACATCAATTGCACACCGGCCACATACTACTCCGCTCCGTCGCAAGTAGGAAGCCACACAATGCACCGACTAAGCACGCGCCCACCTCAATATGTACGCACGATCACAACCGGGTGCACAGTTCCTCTGTGACACAAACGCACACATGCACCCACTGAACCACAGATTCGCCTAACCTCCCCATCCGAGCACAAACACACACAGACACAGCCTCACTCGCTATTCCGAATGCATCGCAACTCGCATCCTGTGGGATGCACGATGCACGAGTCGAGCACATCGGAGACTAGCCACCGCGATTGCATGCCCACATGACTGGTGACGCAGCGTTCGGACTCTCTACCCCACATACCCCGCGTTCGGTTCTGTTGCGTTGGCAGACAGTGGATATTGGCGGGCGAAATGCTCTCATCGCATGGGTCATCGCATGCGCCCGAGGGACAATGTGTGCGTGGGTGAAGAAGCAGTGAGACGCGAGTGCATCGTGCTTTCCCCATATCAGCGCGCTGTGCTCGTGACTTGTGGGGAAACAGTGTGCGTGCCACATGGGAGTGCATTAGACAGTGTGTTGGTAGGCTTGATGGCGCCGTTAGAGCGTTGTTGTTGTGTGTGTGTGTGTGTGAATACGACAGTGCAGTGAAGGTGGTTGTCGGATAAATGTGTGAACAAGTGTATGGTGCATGTGGAATGCGTGTCGGTGCGATGAGCGAACAAGGGGCGAGAGAGTGGCCGTGGGCGCGCATGTGTTCATGCGTTACGGATGTGCGCGGCGTACGCAAGCTGCGTCGATGAGGCACATGTGCTTGGACCCATCAGCACCATCTATGTTGAATTCAGTCTTAGCCCCCGGAGAGGCTAGCCAAATAATCTATTCGACCATAGGTCGAATTTCGTTCTTACCATGCACTACTATACACGGCAGAGAACCGTATAGGTTAACCTGTCCACCACCAGACCGCAGTGCTAATGCATCCCTCCTTACCTACCACGCTCACACTCATCTCACTCGATATAACACGGACCACACAGTGTCACAATTTACACCCACACTATCAGACACAAACGAGCCATATTCGCACTGCGAACGCAATGCAACTACGCACAATCACAGGCACTCAGTCACGCGGGGCTCACGCTATCACGAGTCACCAAACACACATCAATTGCACACCGGCCACATACTACTCCGCTCCGTCGCAAGTAGGAAGCCACACAATGCACCGACTAAGCACGCGCCCACCTCAATATGTACGCACGATCACAACCGGGTGCACAGTTCCTCTGTGACACAAACGCACACATGCACCCACTGAACCACAGATTCGCCTAACCTCCCCATCCGAGCACAAACACACACAGACACAGCCTCACTCGCTATTCCGAATGCATCGCAACTCGCATCCTGTGGGATGCACGATGCACGAGTCGAGCACATCGGAGACTAGCCACCGCGATTGCATGCCCACATGACTGGTGACGCAGCGTTCGGACTCTCTACCCCACATACCCCGCGTTCGGTTCTGTTGCGTTGGCAGACAGTGGATATTGGCGGGCGAAATGCTCTCATCGCATGGGTCATCGCATGCGCCCGAGGGACAATGTGTGCGTGGGTGAAGAAGCAGTGAGACGCGAGTGCATCGTGCTTTCCCCATATCAGCGCGCTGTGCTCGTGACTTGTGGGGAAACAGTGTGCGTGCCACATGGGAGTGCATTAGACAGTGTGTTGGTAGGCTTGATGGCGCCGTTAGAGCGTTGTTGTGTGTGTGTGTGTGTGTGTGTGAATACGACAGTGCAGTGAAGGTGGTTGTCGGATAAATGTGTGAACAAGTGTATGGTGCATGTGGAATGCGTGTCGGTGCGATGAGCGAACAAGGGGCGAGAGAGTGGCCGTGGGCGCGCATGTGTTCATGCGTTACGGATGTGCGCGGCGTACGCAAGCTGCGTCGATGAGGCACATGTGCTTGGACCCATCAGCACCATCTATGTTGAATTCAGTCTTAGCCCCCGGAGAGGCTAGCCAAATAATCTATTCGACCATAGGTCGAATTTCGTTCTTACCATGCACTACTATACACGGCAGAGAACCGTATAGGTTAACCTGTCCACCACCAGACCGCAGTGCTAATGCATCCTTCCTTACCTACCACGCTCACACTCATCTCACTCGATATAACACGGACCACACAGTGTCACAATTTACACCCACACTATCAGACACAAACGAGCCATATTCGCACTGCGAACGCAATGCAACTACGCACAATCACAGGCACTCAGTCACGCGGGGCTCACGCTATCACGAGTCACCAAACACACATCAATTGCACACCGGCCACATACTACTCCGCTCCGTCGCAAGTAGGAAGCCACACAATGCACCGACTAAGCACGCGCCCACCT